GCGGTGCGTAGAACCGACTCTTCTGGGTCGTATACACCGAAGGCTGTTCGGCTTTGGCGGTGTCTTAGGTTTCAAGATGAATTATTAGCTTTCCGTCCTTTCCAGCTTTTCACCTCTTTTTTACTACTCAGCACAAAAAACAACCGCTATGCAAACAATGGTAACCTTTTCCAAAAGCTGATTGGAGAAGGTCAAACTAAACTTATACAATCGGCACTATTACGGTTGTCGACGTCGATGTGTTTTTTTGGTCAAAAAATAGTCCTCGCAAGTCTAGCGCCAGCTACACTGACCACAGTATTTTTGCGGAAAGTTGTTCCTCGCAAAACTACTGTGGGCAACGAAACTGGAGTTGGACTGAGGAGCGCTATTTTTTGAGCAAAAAATTACATCGACGTCCATGATTCAATAATACAAGGTTCGATAAACTGACAGTTGTCTCTCTCGCACCGCTCCCTTAGCAGTGGCACCGTGTTGCTTCTTTGCAAATTTACATGGAAACAGTGTAGCTTTGGTGTGAAATAAAAGTATAAGCTTTTGTGCTATATGTTTATTTGTATATGCATATGAAGCATATTTAACTGATGAAAACATAAGCATTGGATGTTTACATCAGTCTCATAGTAGTCTTATTTTAATTCTGAGTCATTCTGCAGTTTTTATACGGCTAAATAGCATATAAATTACGTAATTCACGTAGATATATCAATATTACGTTCAACATTTCGTTTAAAATGCCAGATTTCTTGCAAATACATTAGAATTTACGAAAGGAATTTCACTACTAATTGCCTACTTTGCGTACTTTTCTACTACCATTTTCGAAACAAGGGATTTCATTCTTGCCCTTTCTCTGTCCTTCGTAAATGCAACCTTTTGTAAGGGAGTGTCAAACCGCAGCTGTCAATAATTATCTAACCTTGTATTATTGAATCATGATCGACGTCTACGTCGACAACCATAATAAATAGGGCCGAATAATATAGACCATAAAACTTCTGAAAATTCTAAGGGGTTTTCTTTGACAGCTTGCTCTTCTTCTTCGCTCGCATAATCAAAACATCGGAAGGCATTTTATAAATCTTAACGCCCAGATAGTTGGATCTACGTAACCGGAAAACTCAGATTCATATTTGGACAGCTAATGTCACTTCAGTAATATTCCTTACATGAATTAATGTTTTCATTAGGTTGTCGTCGGATAATGAGTTCGAGTTGTATGGCGAAACACGCGTTAATTTGGTACAACTCTATCCTGAAAATTGCAGCTGAATGAACTTCGGAAGTTCGTCGAACTCAGAGCTGATAGCTATTAGATATTTGGTGTTTTCGAAAAGGCTTTCGATAGAGTTATTCTAGGAAATAAACTTAGTGCCTTGAATTTAGGTTCAGAGCCAACCTTTATGACAAAGAGTGTAGAAGAGTTTTGGATATAATCCTGCCTTCAGACTTGTTTGCCCATAAAATCAAGAGATGGCGAGTATTGAGTCTTATTCTGACCATCGGTATATTGAATTTGAAATAGATCTTAAGACCTCCCAAGTTAGGAAGTTCAGAAATGTTAGAAATACCGACTGGGGGTTTACAACAACAAACTAAGGGCTTTATTGCTAAATATACCCCCCGAGACTCCGAGATCCCGCCACGCAGGTGAAATTAGACGGGTTGGTTAATCAAGTCACCAAAGTCATGAATAGTTCTTTTTCAGGCGGATGTTCACGCACACGCCCAGGAAACGAGCCGACACGACAGCCGGATAGGAAAGGCAAATCTATGGAAAACGCCTTGCAGTCGCCCGTCGAGTTGGTGGAAAAAGGCTTATCAGATAAGGAGTATGCTCTGGTTGCATTTGCAGATATAGAAGGCGCCTTCAATTAATGCAAGCGACATAACGGGACCATGGAGAAGGGGGGAATTGAAGTTTTACACAGATGTACCGAAGCTAGACAATAGGGTTGGCCACGGAGTTTTACCTAAGGAACTAGGACTAGAATTATCCGTGCGAATTTCGGACCACTGCTGTGTTTATCAGGCAGAAGTTTTAGCTATAAAGGATTAATATCTTCTCGGATAGCCAGGCGGCTGAATGATGAGATCGAAGGTTGCGCAGGAACGCCTCGCAGCTCTAAACGATATTATCAGCCTCATATGGGTTCCGGAACACTGACATTGAAGGCAATTTCAGAGCCGATGAGCTAGCCAGGAAAGGTACCAGTATGATCCAAGAGGCCAACAGGTCATGGCTAGAAGAGGGCACTTGTAGAACAACCAGCCTGCTTTGGCCGCAAATAGACAAGAAAAAGACGAAAGAATTGCTCAGCCTCTCAAGAGAGGATATTGCGATGGTAACGGTTCGTGTAACCGGTTATTGGCTATTTGGCAGGCATCATTCAAGACTAGGAATATTCTCCCAAGAAACCGTAGAGCACTGCTTTCTGAAGTTGCCCCGCTTTGGCCAAGAGGAGAACAGGCTTTCCAGGTAGGGCCTTCTTTGGATCTCTTACGGAATTGTCATGCGTCAATCCGACGCTCTATAAGAGCTACAAAATGGTTCTCTGAAGAATATTCACTACTACTACTATTGTCGAAAACAGATTCCGAATTTATAGGCCTAAACCAATCACAAATGAGGAGTTTCTCAAAGAGGCCAACATGGATCCCTTTAATATCTGGATTCGGAAACGTAGTGGAAGTGTATAAGCCACATTTCGCGCGGAAAGAAAACGGAAGTATTGTAAAGAATGTCTC